CTTTTTATTTATCTGAATTATTCCATTTTTATAGACATCCGTTATCTCTATCTTTCTGTAGTCTCATGAGACAGTACGTTGCAGATTGAACTCATTTTAGCTGTAATTTTACATATGTTATCCATTCTCATCTCTTTCAATTGGCTTATATATCTCCATCCTTTGTGGGATTTTTAATTTCAGAAATCGATATAATTCATATTTTATTATTTAATGCCTAGCTCAGCTTTTATAATAGTTTTTATTTAATGACTTGCTCTCTTGTATACGCCCAGCAAGTCTTAACCCGATTAATTATCTCATTCCAATTTGTACATAATTTGCGATAGAGGAATGGTGAATGACAGTGATTCCATTATGCCCTGTCACGTAATTGCTTTTGCTCCCACGATCCACCGATCTCTCAACATTATTATTATAATAAGTATCAGTTAATCAGAATTTATCTTTTTCTCATTTTATCTTATGTTTCTATGCCTGCAGTCATTTTCATTTGGTCTCCATTGCAAATTCATCATCGGGCGTTCTCTCTGAGCCGTTGACTGGAAAGGTGGTTTCCAAACAAAAAGGAACCTTCCGTACTAACTGCATTGATTGTTTGGACCGGACAAATGTGGTACAGTCTCTGCTAGCTTGGCGCTCATTGGAAGCCTCGCTGAAGAATATTGGTCTCTTGTCTTCTTCCTCTTCTTCCACTAGCCATGAAACGGTCGAAGATTGTCCCATGGTTTCGCTTTCAGCAACTGCGGACAACTGGGGAACACCGGATGATTCAGTGGCCTCTCGTGACATCTGGCCTGGTTTTGGGCCCGTCTTTAGGGCAATCTGGGCTGACAATGCTGACGCCTGCTCCTTACAGTACACAGGCACTCTAGCCCTCAAGACTGACTTTACCAGGACGGGTACGACAAACAACCTTATAGCTCTTAGAAGATATGAATACAAAGATGGTGTGGCCTTATGTGTGGTCACCGTCTATTTTTGTTGTATAGAACTTGTTTAACTTTGTTTTCGCAACTTGGTCAAATTGGTAGGAAGACTTAGAGAAACGCGCCTAGTCCGGAGTCCATTGTATGCATGATAATTTCCAAAGTCGGACCATGGACGTGGCATCGTCACTGAGTCTTGCCATTCTTAGTACCAACCACAACTCGTCTTCCTTCCTTAGGTCTTATCAGAGTCTCCCTCTTGCCCCGTAGGATCCGTCTGCTCTCTCCCTGGTCCAAGTATTTCACTCGACCCCTGTCAATCCGCCTGTGCTCCACGAGGCGTTATGTCCCACTGCGTCTTCTAGAATAACTTGAGGCTAAATATGCCGAGTAATTGCAATGGTCAAGCCTTTGCTACATGGAATACGTCTATCGTAAAACAGGCTTACGGTCAGCCAACTAGCTCCAGTCCCCGCCGCGTCTATCCTGTTTCTATCCCTAATACCAAGTCTATGATTTGCTATGCCCTAGTCTCTTGTGTTCCAACCCACAAATGTTGTGGTACTGGTTGCTTTAATTAGGTTCAATGTTAAATCACAACGCTTGTGGGTTGGCGCACAAGAGACTAGGGTATAGCAAGTCGTGGACTTCGTATTAGAGATAGAAACAAGATAGATGCGGTGGAGACTGGAGCTAGTTGGCTGACAGTAGGCCTCTTTTACCATATACATGGTCCATGTAGCAAGGGCTTGACCATGCGACTGACTCAGAGGCTTTAGCCTCGACTTAGTCACCCAGACGCAGGGAAGGGGCAATAACGCTTCAACTAACACATATGGGGTGGCAGGGGTCGAGTGAAATAATTGAACCAGGGAGATAGCAGACGGATTATACGAGGCAAGAGGGAGAGTCTGATAAGACTTAGGGATGGTGGACTGTAACAATATGGCGGACTCTGATCAACATTTTCAGTAGAAGGGTGAGGGGAGGGTGGAAATTACTTTGGAAATGATCATGCAGACAATGGACCCCGGACTAGGTGCGTTCCAATAAGTCTTCCTACCAATGTGACCATTTTGGAAATGATCATGCATACAATGGACTCCGGACTAGGTGCGTTCCTCTAAGTCTTCCTACCAATATGATCAAGTTGCGAAAACAAGTCTAAACACTTTCTATACAACGAAAGTAGACTGCGACCACACAAAAGGCCATACCATCCTGGTCTTCATACCTTTATTTGATTTCCGATAATGGCTCGTGCTTTGATCCAAATTGTTAATTTTGCCTTCTTTCTTCTTTATTCTTATTTTCATGTCATTGGATATCACCTATTTAATATTTGACAGATTTATCCTTAAAATATACTGCTTTATAAAATGGACGGTGTTTCTGGCCTTCTCGATAGGGGTTTTAATGCTTTATAGCAACCTTTGAGTGCTCATGCTATTGGCTTGTTCCTTTATGTTTTAACTATTTATCATGTATTACTTTCAAATTAGTAACCGTATCATCTCATTACTTTTTCTCCAAAGGCAAGCGTACATTTCTCGGAATATTAATGGATGGCTATCACTCGGCCATGCGCTACTACTATAATAATTTTTCTGACGGCTTTCGTCAAGACGCCATCGACCTATTTCTTGGCCATTGGCAACTTCACGAGCCTAACGGATTTATCAATCCAGTGGAGCGGGCTCGTACCAGCCAGGGTGTTGGATTCAGTGGTGACCGTGATGTGGATTGGAGAAAGCGTTTCCTCCCTGTCGTTTTCGGATTTGCTTTCTCCATGTCTATGCTGTGCTTGCTCTTCCCTACACGTATGCCTCCTCTCTTGATCATGCTTCTCAAGTTAATCATCTTTCTTTAGAAAGGAATACGGACATTTTGCTATTTTATTATTGATCTCATCTCGCATTCATAAATTGCTCTTGTTTAGGAAATTATCTGGTAACAAACCCTCCGTTTTCATAGTCATATGTGATTAGATCGATTACCAGGTTTCGCCCGTATTATAGACATGCAAGGCCAATCCTAGCGCTAAACTACTTTTAGCCAAATCGTCATGTGTAACCAATCCTATTAGCCACTACTGGCGACCTGAAATGGAGGAGGAGTCCGACGATTGCTCAACACAGTGTTTGTCACTAGTCTCAACTTTACTTATCACAACTTGGCTGTGTAGTCAGGGGGACCTAGATGAAGGCACATTGTTCGAAGTTCGCTGCCATAATATTCACGATAATTTCCAGCGTCAGGCTGTGGATTCGGTATATTCCCATACATTTCGTCAGTATCGTCAGTGGGTCTTGCCATTCCTAGCACCAAGCTACAACTCTTCAAAGAGAAGTAAAATCCATCTTTTGATCTAACTATAAAGAAGGATTTCTGCAGAACGTTTGTATTATTTCTCCTGCTCGGATACATCTGCTTACTCCTTGTCCTAGTATGCCACTCCTATCATAGCCTCTAACTTATTTTTATTTGGCTATTCCAAAGGTATAGCATGTTTAGCGAGTTTATTGGGATGTTATCACACATGCTAGTTTACTTTACTCCTTCCTTCTCTTGATTTGTCGGAATCGACTTAGGCCTTTCAATCCGCAAATTGTTTTCAATTCCTATAGGAATTTCCCTCCTACTCTCGGAGATCCATTTCTTATCTTACTGATTGATCCCTATGGGTCGGAGGGATATTCGGATGAGTTATGTAGTTTGTGGTCTAAAAGGCCCAAACAAGAGGGGATTGGGCAACTAAACTCGCAAAAAAGAGCATACCTCTAGATTAGTTTATTATAAACAAGTTAGAAGTTATGATAGAGAGAGAATTAAATACG